TCTGTTTGCCAGTATCTTGTTGAGGATTTTTGCATCTATGTTCATTAGGGAGATTGGCCTGTAGTTCTCTTTTTGGGTTGGGCCTTTCCCTGATTTAGGAATCAAAGTAATACTTGCTTCCAGGAATGAATTTGGAAGCCTTGGCTTCCTTTCAATTTCCTTGATGAGTTTAAAGAGTAATGGCAATAGTTCTTTTTTAAATGTCTGGTAGAATTCAGCAGTGAAGCCATCAGGTCCTGGGCTTTTCTTTGTTGGTAAATGTTTTATTACATTTTCAATTTCACTTATTGTAACTGGGGTGTTTAGAATTTCTATATCTTCTTCATTTAACTTTGGCAGTTCGTATGTATCTAGGAATCTGTCCATTTCTTCTGTATTTTCCATTTTATTAGAGTACAGGTTCTTGAAGTAGGTACTGATGATGCTCTGGATTTCTGTTGGCTCTGTTGTGATTTCACCTTTTTCATTCTTAATTGCAAGGATTTGTACCTTTTCTTTCCTTTTTTTGATAAGGCTGGCTAAAGGCTTATCAATTTTATTTATTCTTTCGAAAAACCAACTCTTTGATTCATTGATTTTTTTGTATCTGAACCCTGATTTTCTTAAAAACAGAAGAGAGTAGATCTACAGGTCATTAAACAATGAAGGATAAACTACAATGCTAATTTATTAATTTACCATAAAAATACAATTGCCATGTAATCTAAAATATTCAATGGTGCACATCCAGGGCCATTGATTTTTAAAGATGCATCTACCCAGAAATCCAAATGAGAACTAGAAGAGTTCCTAAGCAGTGTGGAGCCGTAGCAAGAAGGGTTATTTATCTAATTCAGAGGTTGGTAAAACTTTCCTATAAAGTGCCAGATAGTAAACATTTTCAACCTGGTAGGCCATGAAGTCTCAGTTGCAACTCTTCAACTCTTCTGCTGTAGTGTGAAAGTAGCCACAGGCAGCACTGAAATGAATAGGCATGGTTATGTTGCAGCAAAACTTTGATTTCAAAACCAGGCAGTAGCCCTTATGAATACTGATGCAAAAATTCTCAGCAAGATATTAGCAAGCTAAATTCTGCAGCATAGTAAGAGGCGTATTATATGCAAGTATTAAAATAGGAATTATTTCTGGAATGCAAAGATGTAAATATTTTTATGTGTGAAAATAGATCAATTTAATATATAAACAGAATGAAGCAAAAAAAAAAATCACATGAGAATCTCAACTGGTATAAAGCATTTGACAAAAATTAAACGTATTTTTACTTAGACTTCAGTACCCATGGTGATTGGTTCTAAAATCTCCATCCCTCATGGATACTAAATCTATGGATACTGAAGTCCCTTATATAAAATGGCATATATTTGCATATAACCTATGCAATCTTCCCATATACTGTACTTTAAATCATCTCTATTTATAATAACTACTATAATGTAAAGACTATAAAAATAATTATTGTACTAAATTGTTTAGAGAATAATGACAAGGAAAAAAGTTGGTTCAAGTTCAGTACAAGATATGATTTAAAAAAAATTTCCAATTTACAACTGGCTGAATGCACAGGTATAGAGCCTTTGGATACGACCCACACAGACATGGAGGGCTGACTTTACCGAAGTTTTAGTCAGAGCAACTGGATAAGAAATTAAAGTCACTCAGATTCAAAGAGAAGTAAAATGATCTTTCTTTGCAGATGATATAACTGCATGTCAAAAATTATAATTAGTCCACAAAAGAAGCTATTAGAGTTAATTAATAAATTCAGCAAAGTTGCAGGATACAAAGTTAATACACAAAATGCAGTTGTATTTCTTTTTTTTTTTCAGTTGTATTTCTATACAGTAGTGAAAAGGAAAATGTGAAATCTGAAAAGGAAATTAACAAAATAATTTCATTTAAAATAGTATAAAAACAATAAATACATAGAAATAAATTTAACCAAGGAGGTGAAAGACTTGTCCACTAAAAATACAATACAGAAATTAAAGACATAAATTCATGGAAAAAAAATCTGTGTTCACGAGCTAGAAGACTATATTGTTAAGATTTTGATACTACCTAAAGCACTCTACAGATTCAACACAATCCCTATCAAAATCCCAATGGATTCTTTTTTGCACAGTAAGTAAAGTAACCCTAAAATTTAAAGGGAATTTCAAAGAATTCCAAATACCTCAAATAGTCTTGAAAAAGAAAACTAAAGTTGCAAAATTCACACTTTGTTTCCAAAACTTGCTACAATGCTACAGGCATCAAAACAGTGTAATACTGGCATAAGGACAGACATACAGACCGATGAAATAGAACAGAGAGCACAGAAATAAACCCTCAGATACATGGCTAATGGATTTTTGACAAAGGTACCAAAACCATTTCAATAAATGGTGCTTGGAAAACCAGATGTCCACATCAAAAGAATAAAATAGAACCATTATCTACACACACACACACACACACAC